ACACACACACACACACACACACTCTTATAAAATCACAAATCTGTAAAGTGAGATTATTTCCATTTGGCCTTTTTGGTCAATGTTTTCCATTTTGCATTTAGACTTTGTATATAACTTCTTTAGGGAGGAATTATATATTTTAATAGTCTTTGTATCTTTTGTGACACCAATGGTGATAATAAGGAAGCAAATATTCATTTTTGAGTGTAGAAACTCTTTAAATAAAAAAGCTCTTAAAGTGAATTCAGCTGGGCATGGTGGCACACACCTGCAGTCCTAGCACTGGAGAGGCTAAGGCAGGAGGGTTGCCATGAATTTGAAGCTAGCTTGAAATACAGAGCAAGACCCAGTTTCAGAAAAAAAAAAGTTCAGTGTTCTCAGAATTGACCCAATGACTTCCTAAATATGTATAACCTCTATAAGAATATTCATTTTTCTTGCTATAGGTATACATTAAAGATCCAGAATCATGACTGACTCCAAGTACTTCACAACCAATAAAAAGGGTAAGTAGAGCACCTTGTCAGATCTTGGGGATTTTTCAAAAACTCTAGGGTTAGATTATTCCATATCAAATGTGCTTGACCTCCTCAGACATGAATTTTATGGACAGTCTTAATGGCAGTCTACTGCTCCTACAGATGAGTGTATTTGAGCAAGTTATTAAAGTATGAAGTGTTGGGGGTTTTTTTTGAGGGGGGTGGTTGTGGTATGTGTGTGGGTGTGTGGATGTGGATGCAGTGCTGGAGACCCAGTGCAGGGCCTGAAGAATGCTAGGCAAGCCCTTTGCCATTGAGCTCCCCACCCAGCCCGGAAGCTTTTTATAGCTTCTTAAAAACAAAGCTGTGGTACGCACCATTTTGCTGGGAAGCTTCTAGGTTAGTGAAAGGCAGGGACTTACTTGCCAGTTGAAAGTAACACCAGTCAACTAAAGACTGACATACGAGGAAGACAGGAGGCAGCATTTATTATTTTTTAATTTTTACTTGGAAATAAAAATTTTTATAGCAATACAGTTAAAGCAAGTGAGAATATGTATACATCTTCAGTGTTTTTTTGTGTGTAAAGTACATTGTTAATATTATTTTAAAAATTGTGTATTTAATGAAAAAAGGATAATGCAAAAGAAATTAAAACTTCATATTCTTCAAATCTCTCCCTATAGATCTGTCTTACACTTTGTCCAGATCTGCATTTGAAATGAGAATCTCTGAAGCTGCTTCTGTGACTTTTTTTTCGGTCATAGACTGAATTACTTGCATAATCTTGATTAATTAGCCTCTCCGTTTTTTTGATCAGTAATCAGATGCTGGTTTTTATGTATGAATTTAAGTTTAAAAACTAAAAATTCTTGGAAAAGTCTAACCTCCGATCTTTTTTTTTTTAAGTATATGTTTATAATACATGATTATATTCCTTCTAGGATAACTTCTCATCTTTTGCAAAACTGTTGCATATGTCATTTCTAGAAGTGTAGATGTTCTCCCTTCAAAGACGGACTAGTCTTTTATCTGCTTACTATGATGTCAGCTATCTTGCTTTGTTTCTCAGGATCAGAGTTCTGTGCCTTTGCCTTCAGCAGGTCTTATATTTAGTGATGTACTCTGTTCCTCTTTTCCTCCTGTTCTTTAAGAGTGGGAATCAAGTTTCTACAAAGGATATTACTGATACCTTTTAGGTTTGTAGATGAGATTAAATAATGTATCAATGTTTTAGTAACTAAGGTTAAGAGAATTTCCTTATTCTTAGAAAACATACACTGATGTACCTGGGATTAAATATGTATGTTGCCTACAAATTATACAAATATGTGAAGAATGGCCAAGCATGGTGGTGCACTCGGGAGGCTGAGGCAGGAGGATCTGCCAGCCTGTGCTACTTAGCAAGACCCTGTCTCAAAAAAACAAACAACAATATATATCTTTATATATGTATATATAATTTATATAAATGCTGCATAGAATGATGAAACAATTGTGAAAAAAATATTAACAAGAACCCTTATTTTAAGATTGAAAATATGTTTAAAATTTTAGGGCCAGCGAGATAGCTCAGCAGACTAAGTGCATGCTTAGGCAAGGGCAGGGACCAAGGTTTGATCCCCAGCACTGCATGCCCCAATAGCCCCACCCCCAGGCACACTGAGCTTGCCACCGAGTTCGGGTGTGGTGGTGCACGCCTGTAATCCTAGCGCTGGGAAGGCTGAAAACAGGAGGATCACTATGAGTCTGAGCTGCGTAGTGAGACCTGTACCAAACACATAAAAATAATACAATAAAATTTTCAAAAAAAAAAAACCTAGAAGGGCATATGGTAGTGGCATGGACTAAGTACCAGCACATTTTCTAGAAAGCTCAAGAAATCTGTCATATTTAGACTATGTGTGGGTAACCATTTTCTTCTATTGTAATGACAGAAAGCCCTGTAGTGAGTTCCTTAGTTATATGTTACTAATGAGTGATTTACAACCTTGGCTACACATTGGAGTTGGTCCAGGAACTTTAAAACAATACCAGTGGCTTGATCCTATCCCCAGGTGGTTGGTTTTAGAGCACTAAGTGTGAGGTTTTAAAAGCTTCCCACTTTATTTTAATGCATAGCCAAGATTGAGAACCATTGCTAGTTGCTACCAATGCTTGATAGATTGGATTAGAGAAAAGAGAAGGAAGGAAGACGTAAGAATCAAATAAGGTTGCAGTATATACAAGCTACTTTGCCTATTTGGCTCCACCTCTTCTCCCTCACCCCCCCTTCTATTTTTATTTTTTATACCTCACAAAAGCCATGAATCTCTGGTCATTCGTTTTAGCTTTTCTTTCTTGTCATTTGAAAATGTCTTTGTTTTTTCTATGTTTTGGTGATCAGCTTACTGCTTATGATGACATAAAGAGATTTTTAAAAACCTACCTAGCTCTTCAATTCTTCTCTTTAAGAGATCCTGGTGACCTCTTTTTGGGGGGGCATTTATAAAAGTTTAAGACTTGCAGATTGAATCATGACTAGATAAATAACACATTCTTTTAAAAAAGGATAGCTTGTGTTCTGTTACTTCCTACAACGCCCACCAGCACTGCCACTGGAACATACAGTAGTCTTTAAATTTATGCTATTGGAACTGGAATAATTTCAGTTACATCCTGTTTTGACTCTGCAACTATTGCTGCTATTCATAGGTGTAGAATCTCTGAAACACTGTTATTTGTCCTTTAATGTTCCCAGAATTAAATGAGGAGAACCCTGAGAACTGCATTTGGCAGTGTGGCACTTGGAGAAATGGATAATGACTTGTTGAAGAGCCTAGCTTCTATGGCTATGCTATTTTTGCAGCTGTTTGTTAAATAATGATTTTCTAGCAATTTGCTTACCTTTTGGTAATGGATATTGATGAAACAAGCTTTTAATGCTCACTTATTGATTTTGTCCTTTTCTCAGGTCTTTGAGGAGGTCACATAGTATACACTCAGGCTTGTCAGTGGGGGCTGGGTAAAATGAACACCCGGGATAGTCTAGAAGGTGATGAGGCAATAGCACGGATGAGTCTAAGGGTATAGATGGAAGGCAGAGATGGGATTCATCAAACTTTTTCTCATGGGCATAGTGGCACTTTTTTCTTTTGTTTTTATTTAAAATGGATGAGGGTTGATATCTTCTTTTTCAGTTCAGGTCCGAAAGTCTGAAGATAAATGAGCCTGAAAACTAAATCTTAAAGTAATAGTGACTGCCTCTGGCCTTTCACAGTGCAGGACTAGACAGTCATTCAAAGATTATACCTTTGAAGTGGCCCTACTTTGTACCATTCTTGTGATACCAAAATTATTCTTGTTTGATTCTTTAATTAGGATGAGACTTTATTATCTTACTACAGTACTAATTAGAGAGATGATTTAAAGTACCACTTGTGTATTAGAATCCGTTGGGGGAGCTTTTAAAGGGATGAATGTAGAGCTGGGCATGGTGGTGCACACCTGTCACCCCAGCGTTCGAGGAGCCTGAGACCTGGAGTTTGTAAATTCAAGTCCAGCCTAAGCAACTTAGTGACTTAATGAGAAGCAGTCTCAGAAAAAAAAAAAAAATGCTGAGACTATAGCCCAGTGCAAAAGAAAGAAAGAGAGAGAACGAATCTTCTTGACATTTTTTTTTTTTTTTTTTTTTTTTTGGTGGAACCAGGGATTGAACTCAGGCCCTTGTGCTTGCCAGGCAAGCACTTAACTCTACTGAGCTATCTCCCTAGCACCTTTCTTGACATTCTGATCATTCTGATTCATTTGACTCACAGTAGAAGTAGAGCCTAACCATTATTTTTTAAACATTTTCCAGTGATATTATTGTGTAATCAGGGCTGAGAATGTCAGTATTCAAAGAGTCAGGAGACAACTATATGAGTTCAGATTTGTCACTACTCATTTTGACCATTGACTCTCACTTCTTTACCTGTAAAGTTGGGAGTGAAAAAATGACATGCTATGTGCTAACTCTTTTTGTTTGGAAATACTAATTTCTAAGCACACTCCCTGTCTGCATTTATTTTTTCTCTGGTACTTTAAAATTCAGATGGGAGATCATTCCTTAGATACTGTTCTTTCCCCCACTGCAGCTAGATATGAGATTTTGCATTTTCCCATTTCTCTGGTTCCTAAAGTTCTAGATTGCACCATAAGCCTCTAACTTCAACAATTTTAAAAATGTATTGGTGGTATCCATGGCAGTGGGCCAAGCACTCTTCTAGGCTTTGGATTTTACATATTCTTTTGGTTTATTTATTTATTTATTTTTAACTAATCATACCACAGTTTCTGCCATGCTATCCTAGTTTTATTGCACAGTTTAATATCCAGCTCTAGTTCTCCAGTCCTAGAAACTTACCCATTTGCCCTCATCTCTTCTAGGAGAAATCTTTGAATTAAAAGCTGAACTCAACAATGAAAAGAAAGAAAAGAGGAAGGAAGCTGTGAAGAAAGTGATTGCTGCTATGACCGTGGGGAAGGATGTTAGGTAATGGTAATTACTCCTGCCATTGGGGTCACTATAAAGAACTCTATTCCATTTTATGGCTTTTACTGCTTTTCCTTTAAAATCACAGAACCACTGGGTACAGTGAAGATGTGCTTCTGAGCTCAGCTACTCCAGAGACTGAAGCAAGAGGATTCCTTAAGCCCAAGAGTTTGGGACTAGCCTGGGTAACTTAGCAAGGCCCCATCTCCTTAAACTCCTATGAGAATGAGTTTGTTGCCAGACATGGTGGCATATGCCTGTAATCCTAGCAGTTGGGCCAGCCTGCACTATAAAGTGAGCTCAAGTCCAGTCTGAACTACATAGTAAAACCCTGTCTCAAAAAGACAAAAACATCTTTGTAAAAGAATGAGATTGTCCCACTAAAAAAACCATTGAGAAAAAAAAAAAACCATTGAGAAATATAGTTGCTATTCTATTAACCACTAAATTGTTTGTTTCACAGAAGAGTAAAGTGACTTTGGTATTATTGCATGCAGATCTAGCATAAAATCTCCTGAGAGCTGGCACAGTTATAGATGTCTTGACTGAGGTAGTTTAGAAGATGATAAAAATACTCTGAGAAGCAGAAGCTTACAGATGCTTTAATTAGCACAACCTATCGCCCTCAGCTGTACAACTTTATATTCAGGTGTTGAATTTAAGATGAAAATCAATGTAAATGATAATCTGGTAAGAACATTTGAAAATAAGTAAGGATTGTTTACCAGCCCCTGAAGTTACCCAGGACCCTTTCAGGGGGTCCATGAAATGAATAATATTTTTATAATAATGCTTGCCTTTTTCTGCATTTTGACATTTGTACTTATATTGGAGTGGAGGGTAAAACTTTCTAGTGTGTTAGCATAAATCAAGGAAATGATACTAAACATAAAAATTCATTGTATTGTCCATCACCATCTACTTACAAAGCAAAAAATGTAGTTTTGCTTAGGACCGTCCTTTATGAAGCATTAAAAATGTATTTTATTAAAACATAAGCCATGGGCATGTATATTTTCAATATTCTGTGATGAAAAGGAATTACCCATAAAGCTTTTCTGCTCACTTGCAGAATGTGGTGGTGACTGGAGAAAAAGCCTTGGGTGATTGAATTGTAAATAGCATTTTTATGTGAAAGAATGATTGACAGACAAACTATATTTAATCAGACTTTGGTATTTGGGAGATATTTTATCAAAAGGAACAAAATGAACCTGTCATTTCAAGTGGATAGAAACTTGACAGTAGATAAATTTAAAGCTTTAAAGTAAAAATTAGAATTTTGAGAAACATGTATCTCTTTGCATTGAGCTTGACAGCTACTTGATACTTCATTGCTTTTTTTAAAAATACTTTCCAAATGAGATTTGGTGAGAAAAATGAATGTGATAATTTGCTATTATATAATGAATTTCGTCAGCATGGAAGAATCTGCATAATTCAATGAACCATTATTTTCCATATGACCATAATATATATCCCAAAATTATGCATAGGTAAAAAAAAATCCTTTACCATGCATAATAAGTATTATGCAACCAAGTACAAAAAGTTTATTCACAGTCAGCCATTTTATCTTTGACAAAGGAGCTATCATACTCACTGGAAGAAAGATAACGTCCTTAACAAATGGTGCTGGAATAACTGGCTCTCCACATACTGAAAACTAAAACTAGACCCGGGTCTACCACCAGGCACTAAACTAAAGTCAAAATGGATTAAAGATCTAAACATTAAAACAGAAACACTAAATCTCCTGGAAGAGAAAGTAGGTAGAAATCTTGAAGACATAGGAGTAAGCAGACAGTTCATGAACAAAAACCAAACTGCACAGGAAATACTGCAAAAAATCAACAACTGGGATCTCATCTTATTGATAAGTTTCTACATGTCAAAAGAAATCACCAACAGAGTGAAAAGACAACCCACAAATTGGGAAAAAAGTAGTAGCCAACACTCACTCAGACAAAGGACTTCTATCAAAATTATATAAAGAACTAAAAAAACATGGTTCCCAAAATTTAAAGACCCAATCCAAAGATGGGCATCTGAGATGAATACACACTTCTTAGAGGAAGAAATACAGATGGCAAATAAATGCATGAAAAAATGTTCCATAGCTCTGGCCTTTCAAGAAATGCAAATTAAAACAACATTGAATGTTTCAATATAAGAAACGGATATGGTTTCATCAATAGGAATGACACCAAGGGAGATGTATTTGTACATCAGATTGCCCTAAAGAATAACCCCAAGAAGTACCTTCACAGTGTAGGAGATGGAGAGACTGTGCAGTTTGATGTCGAAGGGGAAAAGAGTGTGGGAGGCAGCAGATATTACAGGTCCTGGTGGAGTTTCAGTTCAAGGCAGTATATATGCAGCAGACCGTAACCATTATAGACGCTATCCACGTCGTAGGGGTCCTCTATGCAATTACCAGCAGAATTACCAGAATAGTGAGAGTGGGGGAAAAAAATGAGTGATCAGAGAGCGCTCCCGAAGGCCAGGCCCAACAACGCTGGCCCCACTGCAGACGAAGGTGCCCACCTTACCACATGTGGAGACCCTGTGGGCGTCGACCACAGTATTCCAGCCCTTCTGTACAAGGAGAAGTGATGGAGGGTTCTGACAACCAGGGTGCAGGAGAACAAGGTAGACAAGTGAGACAGACTGTATCGAGGTTATATACCATGACCACGATTCCACAGGGGCCCTCCTCACCAAAGACAGCCTAGAGAGGATGGCAATGAGAAAGATAAGGAAAATCAAGGAGATGAGACCCAGGGTCAGCAGCCACCTCAACATCAGTACCATCGCAACTTCAGTTACCAACACAGATACCTAGACAATCTTAAACCACAAGATGGCAAACAGACAAAAGCAGCTGATCCACCAGCTGAGAATTCGTCTGCTCCCAAGGCTGAGCAGGGCTGAGCTGAGTAAAGTCAGATTAACATCTCTACCATTATCTGGTTTAGTCATCCAGCAAGAAAGAAATGAGTAGGAAATTCCAGCAATTAGAAATGAACAAAAGATTGAAACTGAAGACTTTAAGACCTTGCTTTTTGCCTGTTGACCAGATAACTAAAACTATCTGCATTATCTATGCAGCATGGGATTTTTATTATTTTTACCTAAAGATGTCTGTTTTTGGTAATAGCAGTGTGCTTTTTTAAAAAGCCTGGTTTTTCTCAATACACCTTTAAAGGTTTTTAAATTGTTTTATATGTGGTCAAGTTGAGATTTTTAAGAACTTCGTTTTTAATTTGTAATAAAAGTTTACAACATGATTTTTTCAAAATCAACAAACTGCAAGCACCTGTTAATAAAGGTCTTAAATAATAAAAATTTGAAAAAAAAAACAACATTGAGATACCTTCTCACTCGAGAAAGAATGGCTATCATAAAGAAATCGACTAATAACAGATGCTGGAGAGGCTGTGGAGGAAAAGGAATGCTTCTCACTGCTAGTGGAAATGTAGACTGGTACAACCACTATGGAAATCAGTGTGGAGACTCCTGAAAAAACTAGGACCAAAACCCCCATTCAATCCAGCTATTCCCCTTCTGGGTATTTTCCCAAAAGAACTGAAAACATACCATAGTGAAACATGTGCATCCATGTTTCTAGCAGCACAGTTTTTTTATAGCCAAATTTTGGAAACAACGGAAGTGCCCATCACTCGAGGAATAAGTGTAAAAGATGTGGTATTTTTATATAATGGAGTGGTACTCAGCTGTAAAGAAAGACAAAATCAAAGCCTTCATAGGTAATTGGATACAACTAGAGGCTGTACTCATAAATGAAATAAATCAGATCCACATATGTAAATACCGTATTGTCTCCCTAGTGTAAGAATCTGAAAGAATAAATAAAACCTGAAAGGTATAATAGATCTACTGAAAGGAAAAGAAACTCAAAGATTAAACAGCAAAGATAACACAAAGGAGAAAAAATAGGGAAAAAGGAAAGGGGAAAAGCATGCAAGTATATATACAGGATGGCTGAAATGATTATACTCATAATTTCCATCAGTTTTTTGAAAATAGCAGTTAATGTTCAGAATTTTCACCTTGACTAACTCTGAACTAATACAGTATTAGTTCAGATAAATGTAGATAAATGTAGAAGATACAAGAATCCAGCTGTCTTTATTTAAACTAGATATTTAAACAGATTTGTGAACAAAGTCATGACATCTTCTCATTCATTTAAAATAATACATTGTCATTAAATGGGTTGTTTTTTATGTGGATCACTTAATATCGTAAAATTTTCTGAAGTTCAGTTCCTGCTGTGGTAAAATATCAAGTATTTCCTATGTGAACAGAACTCGCTGGGCATCTCGGTTCAAGCCACATAAGCAATATAAAATTTTCTACTAGGCATACTTTAATATTAAACAAATGAAATTAATTCTAATGTTTTATTCAATATATTGAGAATGCTATTTGAAATTATATATTTTTAAAAAATTTTTATTTTATTTATAATTTTGGTGGTGGTGGTTGTACTAGGGATTGAATTCAGGGCCTTTACACTAGCCTATAATACCTCCAGCATTTTTTAAATTTTTATTTGTGAGGCAGGGTCTTACTGGTATCCACGCTATTCTCAGACTTATATCCTTCTGCCTTAGCCTCTCTGAGCACTAGGATTATACTCATGCACCACCAGAGCTCACGTCTTATAAATAATTTTTGGTGAAATATTTTATATTGAATTTATTGCACTGTCTTCACAATTTATTGTCTTACGTTTATGTCACATTTCAGTTGAGGCTAACCATATTGCAAAGGCTCAGTAGCTCTGTGTGACTAAGGGCTACCATGTTGGGAAGTTTCTAGCTTTATGGATTGGTACTTAATAGTTGTTACCTCTTGAACCTAGACTGTTAAGTCTTACTGATGTTCTTTGGATTGTTAGACTTTATTTTTAATTTTTAAAAAGTCTTCTTTATTTATTTAATACAATGCCTCACAACACAGTTCCAACTTGTAGTGATCCACCTGTCTCAGCTTCCCCAGCTCTGGGATCACAGGCATGTGCCAGTATGCCTGGTTTCAGATCTGAATGGTCAGGCCCGGGGTTCTGGGGGCTGGCATGACCTGCAGTACTGAGGATCAGAATTGGGTCCTTGTGCTTGCCAGGCAGGTGCTTAGACCACTGAGCTATCTCCCCAGCCCTGGTAGGCTTATTTAGGGTCTGAAGTTTATTGGGGCTGGCCAGATAGCACAGTGAACTAAAGCGCCTGCTTAGGCAGAGCGCAACACCTGGGGTTTGATCCCCAGGGTGCCTTGGTGGCCCCCGCCCCTGGGGCATGCTGAGATGGTGATTGAGACTGGGCATGGTGGTATGCCTGTGCCTGTAATCTCAGTGCTTGGCAGGCTGAAAACAGGAGGATCACATCTCTGTAGTGAGACCTTGTAGATCCTGTACTAAATACATTTAAAAAATAATAAAAAATAAAAAAATATGTTTACTGCTGTATTGGGAAAAAGTTTGCTTTTGGTTAATGCTTCATATGTATTTACTGATTTTATAGTCATTTTACACATGAGTTATTTTCTTAGAAAGTGGAAAGAAAACTCATTTGGGGAGCATTTCTTAGATATTAATATGCATGAGAAACTGCACTAGATAATATGCAGCTTAAACACTATTTGCTGCCTTCCAGAACAGATAATCAGTGGTGATCCATTGGAGATCTAATGGATTCTTTGAATTTGCAGGTCGTCTTTCTCTTTTATTTTCTTTTGGAGACTCTGACACTGTATATAGTTCAGACCAAACTTGAACTCACTGTGACGCCCAATGTGATCTCAAACTTGAGATCCTCCAGCATCAGCCTCCAGAGTGCTAGGATTATAGGCATGCACCATGCCCAGCAGTGTATCTTTTTATAAATAATTTCTGCTTAAAAAAAATAATAATCTTTTTTTTATTTATTTGGTATAGGGTCTGTGCAGCTCAGACACCCCAGTGCTGGGACTATAGGTGTGTGCCACCATGCTTGGTTTCAGTAGCTGGCTGGGTGGCAGCGTGGCCTGTGGTACCAGGGATCAAACTTGAGTCTGTGTACTTGCCATGCTGGCGCATAGACTGCCAAGCTAGCTCCCCAGCCCTAATTTCTACTTTTGTACCATTTTTGTGTGGGTATAGGAATTATACCATTTGACCAGTTATTTCAGTCATTTTCTTTTTTCTTTCTTTCTTTTTTTTTGATGGAATCAGGGATTGAACTCAGCCCTTGTGCTTGCCAGGGAAGCACTTACTCCACTGAGCCATCTCCCTGGCCCCAATTTCAGTCATTTTCATCTGTAGAAACAGGTTGACATGTCCTTTTTTTCTTCTGTATGCTAATAATATATCTAGAAATACTTAAAATTTATACTTTAATAAAGCCTAGTTAATTGCTAACTTCCCATTAAATTACAGATTTTTTTTTTTTTTTTTTTTTTTTTTTTTAAGCAGGGATTGAACTCAGGTGTTTGCACTTGCCAGGGAAGGGCTTATTCTACTGAGCTATCTCCCTGGCCCTTTACGGAATGTAGAAATTTTGTTGTTGTTGTTGTTCCCATTAAATTATACTTAGCCTGTATCTTAAAAATATAGCTTACATTTTAAAATCCATCAACTTCAGCTCTTCCAAGTTAATTGTACTTTATGAATGAAAGCATCAGTTTTTGTCAGGACATCATAGTGAAGTACAGGTTACTGAGATCTGGGATTAGTAATGTACAAAATGAGCCTGGATGCAGCATTTTATCAGATTAGAAGACAAGGTCATCATTTAAAATGCAAGTTCACATTACAAGGTCTCAGGAAATAATTCCCTCTGGTCAAGGAAAAAAAGAGTGTTAAAAGGTATAATAATTGTCATGCTTTGAAATTTCAGTGGGCTGATATGAAGAATTATTGTTAAGTTTTTGGTGTGATAAAAATAATGAGTTTTTTTAGAAGATTGAACAAGTATATGCACCAAATATTATAGATGAAATGGGATATCTAGGTATTACTTTAAAGTAATCTAGAGGACTGTGGGAGTAGCTCAGGTGTAGAGCACTTGCCTACCATGTATGTGGAAGGTCGAGTTTAATCCCTAGCAATGTAAGAAATCAAAAATAAATAGTATGGAGTAACTGAACAGGGGTGGTAGAGGGGTAAAGGCAGTGGGTTGAAGGTTTATATGAAACAAGCTCAGGCATAAATATCAGTACTCATTGATATGCACGGGTAGTAACTTAGGCTTATTATGCTGCTGTTTGGCTTTTATTTATTTGAAATTTTCAATAATAAAAAGTTGGTATTTTATTGTTGTTTTCCTAAATACTATTCGGAGGGCAGCGGGGAATGTAAGTTCAGTGGTAGAGCCCTTGCCTACTGTGAATAAGATCCTTAATTCAACCCAGTACTACCATAAAAAGAAAGAGATGTCAAGAGAGAAATAAAAAAGAAAACCTATGTAGAGACCTTGGAACTAGTAGCTGTTCACTTCTAGGATGATAATTGTCACTGTGGAGGCATGGTACTTGAATCAGGCCCTTCTGTAACAGGAGGCATTTTTCACCGTCAGCAGGTTGGCATCAGTACTTGTTCACTCTTTTCTTGTCTTTCCATTTTCCTTTCAGCTCTCTCTTTCCAGATGTAGTCAACTGTATGCAGACAGATAACCTGGAGCTAAAGAAGCTCGTGTACCTGTACTTGATGAACTATGCCAAGAGTCAGCCGGACATGGCCATCATGGCTGTCAACAGCTTTGTGAAGGTAGCTTTTCCCAAGGACTCAAAAGCAGTCCCTTCTACCTCTCAAAAACTTTTCAGAAATGAATCTTGATACAGTGTCTGTATTGCAAATAAGCAACCTTTCTTCCAAAGGAAAAAAAAAAAAAACCTATATACAAGCATGTGTCATTTAGAGAAATTCAAGTCATATGGTGAACTCTGTTGGCAGGGCTCAGTACATGTGTGCTTGCCAAATGGATAGAATACAGCTAGGTGAAACCTCACTGTTTTACCTTCCAAGGGCAACAGAAGTTGGGCTTATCACTGTAGTATTACTTACCTGAGCATTAACCTATTTTGTCTTTGTAGAAATTAAGCTGATGAGTCAGAAATAGTAAAAAACCAGTGGAAGTATTACACTTACTATAATAGGCCTTATACCATTTGATTTTAAATTTTTATTATGGAAAAATTTTTTAACATTTAAGTAGTGGGAATAGTATAATAGATTCCTGAGTACCTATCTTGTTTTAATTACCGACATACAGCCACTGTGGTTTAATTTATACTCCCTAGATCTTCCTGCCTCCCTCCATCTCTTCCTTCCTACTTCCTTCTCTTTCCTTTCTTCTTTTTTTCTTACTGCATTCCTTTTTTCTTTCACTTTCTCCTTTGTCTTTTTTCATTCTCTCTTTTTTCTTTTTGTCTATCCCCTTCATTTCTTTCTTGACACAAAGTTTCACTGTGTAGTCCAAGCTGGCCATGAACCCATAGCAAGCATTCTGACTTAGCCTCTTGAGCATTGGTATTACAAGCATGTGCTACCATGCCTGGTCGCTATACATACCTTTCTGATTCCCCCACTGTATAATTTTTAAACAAATTCCCAAGATCATATAATTTCTTTTATCTCTCAGAGTAAGACTGCTTTCTAAAACCGTAACTACAGACTGGGGAGATAGCTCAGCCGCATACACAACTGCCTGGCAAGTGCAAGGTCCTGAGTTCAATCCCTGGTACAAAATTATAAATAAACAAACAAATAAACTGCAATACCATTGCCACATCTTTTAAAAAGTGATTTAAAAAAATTCTAATGTGGTGAGCTATCCAGTCAGAATTTTCCTAGCATTAGATTAACCAGCGTAATAATAGTATTGTTGCCATTTTTTTTTAAACTTGTTTTTTTCTTCTGACTGAAATTTACTTTTTTTTTTGTATTTTAGTAAGGGTCTGCAGGGTCTCACTACGTAGGTCAGACTCCTAGTGATCCACCTGTGTTCAGCCTCCTAAGAGCTGGGATTACAGGCATGGACCACCACACCCAGTCTCAGTCATGGTCTCAGCGTGCCCTGGAGACGGGGCCAACATGACACGCCAGGGGTGGAACCCTGGCCCCTGAGTCTGCCTAAGCAGGCATTTTAATCCGCTGAGCTAGCTATTTGGCTGGCCCCCTTTTTTTTTTTTTTTTTTGAGACAGTCTCACTGTGCAGTTCAGGCTGGGTTTGGACTAAAACACACTGTGTAGCCCCGGCTGGCCTTGAACTCACAGCAATCCTCCTGCCTCAGCCTCCCTCTTGAGTGCTGAGATTATAGGCGTGTTTCACAATGCCCAACACTGACTGAAACTTAGTTTAAAAAACTGTCTTTAATTAGCATTTCTAAAATTAACTTATATTTACATTTTGAAAAATAACCAGTATGCTACATCCTTTTCATAGACACTTCTCTCGTTCTTCTGCATTATTCGGTGTCAGAGGGAATATAACATTTTATTCTCTCTGCCTAGTTGTTCAGAGATGGACTAAATATCATTTGGAAGGTTTTGGATTGTTTTTTAAAGGTTAATGCTATGCATAGATCTATATGGCTGGCCCTGTTTTGAATCCTACAAGGCCTTTCCTCATTGTGTGTATAAAAATAGTTAAATTGTGTGGTAGAGCACAACTGTAATCCCAACACTCAAGAGGCAGAGGCTGAGGCAGGAAGGTTACAAAGTTTGAGGCCAGCCTTGACTACATAGTTTAAAACCTCCCTGAATTACCTAGTGAGACCCTATCTCAAAACAACAAACAAAAACAAATGATTTTCTTCTAAACTCTTGAATAGACAATTAAGACTGATTCTTAGGAAAGTGGCGTAGGAAATTGAATTCTGAAGTACCATGTAACTGGAAACTTAATAAACTATCTATGGTTTATGTCAACTGGACTATTTGCTTGAATACTTATGATTGATTACTTGTTTCTGTAGGACTGTGAAGATCCCAACCCTTTGATTCGGGCCTTGGCAGTCAGAACCATGGGGTGCATCCGGGTGGACAAGATCACAGAATACCTTTGTGAGCCCCTTCGCAAGTGTTTGAAGGATGAAGACCCCTATGTCCGGAAAACCGCAGCAGTCTGCGTGGCAAAGCTCCATGACATCAATGCCCAGATGGTGGAAGATCAG